GCCGCTGTCAGGCGGGCGTAACGCCTCGGGCCGCGCTGAGGGCGGGTGGGTCCGCCAGCCAGCCCGGATTGTAACAATATCCTTCCCGAGCGTGGCTACGGCGTTGCAAACCTGACCCAAAGCTGCTGCTAGTGTGACGAGGTCTCGCTAGAGGTTTTACTTACAGTTTACCTCCTTTCTCGCGAGTGCTTTGGGTATTCTTGTGGATCTTTCGTTTAACCAAGGCATCTCTAGACCTGTTTTTTTTTTTCTTTATATCTTTTTAACCGTTTTGATGTTGTTTGCCCAGACACTAAATCTTGTATTCTGTCTTCTTTGAGGTTTCTCTTGCAGTCTTTCTTGTAGCAGGTCTGGTTGGCTACTTTCATTTTTAATCCACAGTTTGCTTGACTTTGTTCAGAGTGGGTGTGTACACTGAAGTGGTAAAGCTTTTGTTGGACAGTCTTTTAGTATTTCTACTTGTGAAAACTATATTATGGGTTGTGCAAATGAAAGCATTTCCCTCAACTTCTCCAACTGTGAGCAAATCTCAACAACAACAACAAAAACAAACGGAAAAAAACACCAGATAAATTGTTTTGCTTAAATCAAGGTCAGTTCAAGAGTTGCCTTGCTCCTATTTTTGCTACAGATTTTCTTTAGTCAAAACTGTTCCAGATCCCGTGCTGAAAACTTAGGCCTTTCTAGACATGATGAAAATAGTTGTAGGACTGATTAGCTTTGAACCTTCAAAACTCTGTGCTGTTCATAGGAGTCTGAATAATTACATTTCCTCAAAGCAGCTGACGTATTTTGGGTATGTGGAGTTGTTTCTTGTTCATATTTACAGGGTTTCAAATCAGTTAATTTTCGTTGCAGTGTCCATTCAGAAGCAATCCTGGTTTATGATTATAATGATCTCTACCTAAATTTCTTACTTTCTGTCTCACAGTGATCTATGCATTTCAGGTACCAGCACATTAGATTTGGCACCTATGTTAATATGTTAATACTGTTATTCTATTACTTTTGCAGCGTGTTCTTCTTCTTGTTGCCTCAGATGTTGATGCATTATGTGCTTGTAAAATACTCCAAGTAAGTCTTTGTTCATTATCACTGTAGGCTAACAGTAAAAGAAAAAGTGCCCTGGGATCCTCTTAATAGGTTTGAACTGGGTAAAGGGTGAAGGTTTAATCTGCTTTTGTAACTTATTTTTTCCATGAGTTATGACATTGCAAACTGGTAAATCATACTCCCAAAGTTCACATAGATTTGTCATTTGAGATGTCTTCAAGATAAAGATTTGTATGAAATAGAATTATAGCATGGTATAGCACTGTGGAAGAGGTTGTTTCCCCACACCTTTGCTAACAGCTGTTTGCTTCATTTCAGGCTTTGTTTCAATGTGATCATGTGCAATACACGCTCGTCCCAGTATCTGGATGGCAAGAACTTGAAACTGCCTTTCTTGAGCATAAAGATCAGGTGAAAAAATACTGGAAATTTTTTAAGTTGTAGTTCATCTTATATAGGCATGCACTTCTTCCTTTACCCCAACTTAAAATGTAAGCTCTTAAACTAATTATTATTGGTTACCTCAAAACAGTGGTTAAATTTTAACACACCAGTAACAAACTTGGCAAGCTTTTTACATCAGCTCAAACTAATGTGCTATAATTTTGATAGATTCAAATGAAGTTTGCACACATTTTGAGATATAAAAGGTGGTGGTATCAGATGTCCAGCATCCCCAAATTTGGTGTTTTGTTTTACAAATTTTTTTCCTCCATCAAATATCAAAAGCAACGATGAGTGCTTTGGAGGTTTTGTAAAGGTGTTTTCAGACTTCTGTGTTTCCTGCTAATTGAAGTAAAAAACTTCTTTTTTGTTTGTTTTGTTTGCAGTTCAAATATTTTGTTCTTATTAATTGTGGTGCCAATGTTGACCTTCTGGAGATCTTGCAGCCTGAAGAAGACACTTTTTTTTTCATATGTGACAGCCACAGGCCTATCAATGTAGTGAATGTTTACAATGACACACAGGTAAACACTTTTCTTTCGTAATAAAAATCTTCGCACAGTGTGGTGGTGGGTGGTGTAGTGCTTTTCTGTGTTAGCTAGTAGGTCAGGAAGCAGTATTAATGGATATTTGCAGTAGTAATGTACATGATCAGAAAAAAAATCTGTTTTCACTGATAAAATATATACTGTTAGCGGTGTGATAGTTGTCAGTAGTAAGCAGCTGTTAATCCTGCTGCTATAAATCAAACTGCTACAAATCAGAGGATAAACACCTTCCAGAATGTAACATGTATTATCTCTCATCATCTAGCAACACTTACAACTTGAGTATTAAGCACAAATCATTTGACAACATGACTTTAACAAGCATTAAAAATGATAATTCTTTCAGTAATGCTGTAATCAAGGAATACATTTTTTACTCTTATTTTGTATAAATAAGTATGGTCTTTGTATTAAAAAGCAGTATTTTTGTTATGCCAGGAATTGATCACAGCCCAAATGAATTTTTAGTTTCCTTTACTAAGTATCTGAAGTATTCTCATTTGTCATTTGAAATGCTTTTTTAATCACTAAATAAGATACTTTATTTAAAATACTTCTTTTTTTCTTGCTAGATTAAGCTGTTAGTTAAACAAGATGATGATCTCAGTGTTCCTGCTTATGACGATATCTTCCGAGATGAAGAGGATGAAGAAGAGGACTCAGAGTGTGACAGTGATGGGTCAGAACCTTCAGAGAAACGTAGACGTTTTGAAGAGGTGTGTTTCTGCTACTTTGTTGTGAAAAGAAGGAAAATAAAATGGTTATTACATATACTTTACATCATCATAATAACGACATTTGAGTTTAAAAATTATGTCCCATTAGATCACAAATTCACATGTAAGATATAAAAATAATCTACTACGACCAGTAGTTTCACATACACAAAATGTTTATTTATCTGAACTGCACAGAAATATTTTCCCCCTATAAAAAAACATGTTTTGAACTTTATTATGCATAATGCTGTCTTTGTGTAATTAGTGAACTGAAAAGATCTATCTGTGATTATGTGCTCTGGGCTTTTCAGTCTAACAAAACAACTTATTTAGATAGAAACTTTTTTTTTAATAATTGTTTGAGAAGATAAAAGCTCACAAATAATTTAGCAAAATATTTTTTCTGTCCTTGTAGCAGTAAACTAACAAAAGTATATTATGGTAGACACAAAAAATTAAATTTGCCATATGTTATTTGTAGCATATTTTCTATTTATACCATACAAGGAAGCAAAGGCATGAGGCTAGCAATATTAAGAGACAATTAAATGTAAAGACATTCTCAGGTTTAATATGTAGTTCATATTATTTTTCTATTAACATCGTACATTTTTTCCTACTAATCTACAAAGGGCACTAACTCAGCAAAAGCAGATACCAGAAATTCAAAGGAAAATCTATAAATAGTATACACAAAAGCTATTCTCGAATCTGTTAAATATTTCACAAAGATCTTTCTGACTTCTTTGAGTTTTCAAGCTGATGATGCTACTTATGGACTTTAAATATACAGTGAGTGCCTCT